ATAATAACTTTCTGTGGTTGTATTCCTTCTCCTTTGCCTATCCATTTTTTTTGGTAGTAATAGCTTAATTTTTTGTAATCACCTCTAGCCCTGGGGTATGGGGGGATGGTGTCTCTGGCCTCAGATCTTCAGATCTCCCCTTTAGCTTGGAACCAAAGCCAAACCTCCAGCCTCCTGTAAGTACACATAGCCAGGTGCTTCCTGCTTCTGCACTTACCTGGAGTGTGCTGGTTCCTTCTCACCCCTGCCACTCTCCCCAGTACAGCTGAATCTGGCGTTTCTTGTCAGCAGAGGTTTGCCTTGATCTTCCCCTGGGTAAAAGTTCCTGTGGCTGGTCCTGAGGCAGACTCCCAATCCAGCTAACCCCAGGGCTTGCTGCTTGCTGTTTAAGTGGGCCCTTAACCTGGAGGTGTTTACGCTTCACAGGGAGGAAACCTCTTCACGGGATTCTCCTTCAGATCTTCTTGGATTGTCCCGGGAGGACCTCTGTTGTGCCCTGTTCTTATTTATTTTACACACACCCCACTCTGTTTGCCCTGAGGTGATTTATCTTCGTGGGGGAATATCTTGAAAGCTTGGAATTTTCTGACCTATTCCCTATACTTGTTTATAAAAAGGCTTGACAGAGTAAAATGTGGTTTGCATTTTTTTTTGGAGTTTTTACTTTAACAAGGAATCTACCAATAACATATAAAGATGATAAAAGATGCATAGAGGTAGATCTCTGCTATCTTTCTTTAATTATTAGTGTCAAGTGAGAAAAAAAAAACAGGAAGCTATATGTTCATCAAAGGCATTTGATACTATCACAGAAGATGCCCTATAGCGAGTGAGGAAGGAATTACCTACAAAATTGTAATACTTAGGTTTGATGATGAAATTGTACTGATTGCATCAAGTTTCAGAACATTATGTTTCTTTCTGAATGAGATCCATACGTATTCAAAATATGATATTGACAAGGCCTTAATCTGTAATTTCACAGTGTAGGGAACTCCCAGATGAAAAGTCCTTCCACAGGTGCATGTTGACACTTTCTCTGTAACTTGTAGTCTTAGAAGAGAGGTTCTTAATATTTTGTTGTGTCAACAATTCTAGTCTGGTACAACCTATGTGTATACCCCTTCTCAGAATGTTTTTAAATTATTTAAGAAAATGCCAAATTTCAGTTAGAGGTTGATGAAAAAAGACACATTTTTTTTTCTCATCCAAGTTTATAGATCCTCTGACATCTGTCTGTAGATCCCTAGAGAGTGAGGGCTATGGGGATCCGTGAGCCATAGGTGAAGAAGCCCTGTCTTAAAGAGGCACCGAGGGCACCGAGAGGTTGTGACTCACCCAGGGTCGCATAGCCAGTATGTGCAAGAGACGTGACACAGAGACGAAACCAAGTCTTTCTGGCTCAATTGTGTGTTTTGAGGCTCTGTAAAGATTGTTAATGAAGGTACTTACCTGGAGCTATTAGTACATGAATACTTTTATGGAGCTGTCATTTCACTGATGGGAGTTGGGGGGGAGTCTCATAGGACCTAGATTAGGAAGAAAGTTAAGGAGATAGAGTAGAAGGAAGGAAGAAAACATTGATTAAGTTCCTGTTCTGTGCCATGCACTGTGCTAAACTCTTTACAAATGTTATCTCACTTGATTCTCCCAACCAGGAGACAGGTGCTATTATTTTCCCCATTTTAAGTTTGAGGAAACTGAGGCAGCCAGATTAAATATCTTGCCTAGGGTCATGTAGCTAGTAAGTGTTTGAGGCCAGATTGGAATTCAATTCTTCCTGATTCCTTGCCCAATACACAATCCAGTGTCCAAACTAGTTGCCTTGGGAACTTAATGATCATCAAATTTATTATGTCTCCTTAAGGAAATGGAAGCCTAGAGATGTAAAACAGATCAGATGAACTGTCAAAATAGGAATTTGAACACAGGTCTTTGGATTCCATATCCAGTGTTTTTTTTTCCCCCTGCTACCTCTTTATCCACTAATGCAGACCAAAAATACCTCTTAATCTTCTTTCTGTGTGCTTTTTGCCTATTTTTGCCCTTGAATTCTATATAAGTAATTATCTAAAACATTAGAGGGATATCTCTATTTCTTTAATTTCTCAGGAGTACCATCATACCACTTAAATGTAGTATAAGTATCTTAAAAAGCAAGTTTACAAGGTCTTTATGAGAAATTAATGTTATTACTAGGAAAATAATGACTACAAATAAATTACTTTAAGAATTTAAACACTGTTTTACTTATTAAGAGAACAACAGTTTTAAATGAAAGATACAAGAGTCACAAAATTATAGCCAAGCAATTCAAAATGCTGCTGTGGATAGCACAATATTCTACTTTTTTTTAAATGTATACTCCATTACTTTAATACTATGTCTTCTAAAAAATGATGACTCAATTTTATCCGTAATTTGACAAGAAAATGGATTAACTTTACTCTGTAAATGTAGTTTCTGATAAAATACAGTCATGTGTTTGTGTGTGTGTGTGTGTGTGTGTGTGTGTGTAGGTGATATTATAATTTATTACTAGGGGTGTTGAAAATTCCACAATAATCCCATATTGGAGTAAACACAAGGCCTATCAGAATATTGTGCTATCAACAGAATGGTTTTTAGGCATTACCAATTAAGCTTTTAAATTAATCTTTTGAACACCGCTGCTAGTCAACAGTAATACAGCCTTGAGATATGGTCTATGGTCTGTATTTTAGCAGACACCACATTTACAGTGCAAAACGAATCCATTTTCTTGTCAAATGATGCACAGAATTTAGTCATCATTACTTTTTTAAAGTATAGTATTAATAATAATATGAACCTAGAGACTATAGCATACCTTAGTCAGAGTTAAAACACAAAAATCCACCTGAAATTTTTGCCTTTCTGAGGAAAATAGACATAACTTTACAGAATTTGAATCTCTTTCTATTGCAGCTATAAATGGGACACATTTTCTTATAGAAGAAAACTTCCTTTTATATATTCAAAACAATGGACTTTGCAGAAGGGTAAAAATTTTAAAATGCCCTTAAACCATCATGATATGTATTGAGAAAGAGGTAAGGCTATTAGTAGAAATGAGAGGAACAATCTTGAGAAATGACAGGTGATGAAATATAGTGCCTTTTTTTTTAGCTCTTATCTCCATACCATTAAAAGTCTAAGTCCCATTCACAAAGTAGAATCTCAAATGTAGCACATATGAAAATATGTTCTTTTATTTTCTCTTAAAAGAATCTTACTTTTACAGACTTAAGAAATTTAACTCTTAGCTTTTATTTTAAAAAGAAAGCCAGTATAAGCTATACCTACATGTTTTTGCTGCAGGGGACCTTCCAAACACTATTTCAGGTTGAATTTTATAGAATCAGGAAGAAAGAGAAAATAAGACGTTCATTATGTAAGCTGGGAAAATGAATGCTACTAATGATGTCCCAGAAATGGATGTGCTTCAGCAGCAAGCATGGCAAAATTCCACGCTAATGCAAATTAGATTTTACAAAACAAAAATGCACTATGTTGTACTTTCATATATGTTCGATTCTAAGACATTGCTGGTAAATCTCAACACTTTAATAATTTCCACCCAGTTGAACTTCTAAAACCATTTAAGGCTGGACCGCACATATTGTCTTTCCATTTGAGCCATACAAGTATTTGTCTTGTTTCCCCAACAGTAATGTAAGTATCCAGGAAATAGAAAACACTTTTCATTTTTCCTTGTCTATCAACTCAAACATTTCTGAGTGTATAGAAGCCATCAGCTAATACTTATAGGATGAATAGGAACAGGGATTGGGCCTATGAATTCATTGGCATAAAGAAGTCCCAGCTGAGGAAACTCTCCTTACCATCATGTTAATACCTTGTCTCTAACTTAATAATTTTCAAGAATGGTCTAGAGCAGGTTTGGGGAATCTGCAGCCTCAAGGACACATGTGGCCCTCTAGGTCCTTAAGTGTGGCTCTCTGACTGAATCCAAACTTCACAAACACTGTGGCCTCAAAGCCCAAGGTTCCTCACCCCTGCTCTAGACTCTAGAGTACTAAGGAGAGAAGTGAGTTGACTCAACTCCAGAGCCAATATGTGGCATGAGCCCAGGTCTTACTGACTTTAAGGCCAGATAACACCACTATACCATGATAGCATGACTGATTTAAAATAGTTTTTCAACACTTAAGTTGTCATCAAGTTTCCTGTGTAACAGTTTCATTGATACAAATAATTTAACAAATACCATTAGAGTATCTAGTTCTCTATAGCTAGGCTATTTCTTTGTACCATCTGGTAAAACTGCTGCTCACACGGGCTTGAGAGTGTCATGATTTATGTCAGCTTGATGCAACTGGAAAGGAGTCCATGATTTAGGCAAAAAGTTAAAACCTCATCAAAGTAATAGTGAACTCCTTTGTCATGCTCACTTGGCACTTAATCAGATATGCCATTAATAAATATAGATTGGTAGAACTTTATATTCTTTATTGTTATTTAAAACTTTCATTACTAATTAACTTTTTGTATAACATTTCTGGTTTCCTCAACTAGACTAGACTATAATTTTCTCAAGCAGGGCCATGTTTTATACATCTTTATATCCCTACCCCACCCTCAGCACCTGACACTGTGTCATGCAAATACTTTGGTACTCAATATATGTTTGTAGAATGAATAACTATATAAATATACTTAAATAGATCTGTGATCTTGTTAATATGGTAGTGGCTTCCAGTGATGAAGATCACAATTTGTCCATGCTTTTTTCCTATCCTGTGCAATTCTTGTTCAATTTCTTTCCAAAATTCACCCCAGGAAAGCCACCAATGTGCTGCAAGCCTTCCTTTCTTTTTATTGATCTTAGGGTACCACTGGAATACTCTGACTGTCCACTCTATCTTGCCATGTGGCCAGTCCATCTTCCTTCTTCTACTATGTCATTTATTTATATCTTTTTTCTCCAGTTCGAAGTAGGCCCAAATTACTTACATTACCTTGTGTGTAATACTCATCTTTAGTTCTTTGGAAGTGGTGGTAGTCCCCATCTTGCTCCATGCAACAACACCAGCAACTATTGAAAGGAAAAAAAACAAACAAACTTTGCTTTCATGAGAAGCATGGGGGTCAGTAAAAATTCTTTGCAATTTCCTAAAATCAATCAAATACACCCACTCACCTCCTTTCACAACTCTGGCTCCAACTCAATATCTATCTGTACTGCTTGTCATATATACTTACATATACGTGTGTGTATGTATGTATATATGTGTGTGTGTGTGTGTATATATATGTATATATATATATATATATATATATATATATATATATATATATATATATATATGTGTATATATATATGTATATATATATACATATATATATATATATATATATATATATATATATATATGTATATATATATATATATATGCTGATATATGCTGATAGACAAGCTCAACAAGGTTTCCATCTAAAATGTAGGGAATAGACAATCAATGTATAAGATGATAACAAAGTAAACTCCAGTGCTTGACAGTTACATCTAGATGGAGATCACTGTCTATTCCCAACATTTCTTATGCTTTGGCAGCCTGTTCACAGTTCAAAATCTATTCATATTATACCTTAAATTTCATGCTTTTTATGTCCCCAAATATTTTAAAAAGCATGTCTTATTGTCTCTAACCTGTGACAGGGTGACTGAAAACTGCTCCTCTTCTCCTATATGGATATATTTCTTTCTAGTCTGTTTTCTTATTCTTTCTTTCTTTGATAACTGTTTTGTGTGTGGCTTTTCATGTCTTGTAATATTTTTTTAGGCTAAATTGCCAACTTTTATGGAAAGCCTTTTCATGTGTAATTTCCTTGACTCTGGCCTAGTACAAAAATTAGGATTTCTCTGTGCCCCCATGTTTTGGGGTACCTAGAGCATGGGAGTTATTATGACTAGTGGAAGCAGGGAACTTCACTTCTGTGATATTGGTTGCTTCAATATATTCACTCCAACAATAGACCAATTCACTGAAACAAATGAGGTAAACCAATTGACTTAATTGACCAAGCAAGTCTATGAACAGTTAATATAGCAAAATGATATGGTAATTTCTACTGGCATTTGTTATTGACTCACTGGTATAATACTGAGAATTCCTATGTTCTCACATTAGGACATATTCTTCAGTACTGTTTTAATTTTTATCTTCAGTAGAAACAAAACCAAACCCTTAAATTAGTATGGTTGCTGAAAAGATTTCTAAGACCTCAATTAACATGTGTGACTGGACCAATCCATATACCAAAGGAGGACTCAAGATATTTAGCATTATGACTTCTTCCTATCCATCTTTCTTTCGAGAAAGAAGATTCTGGTGTAAACTACTTTCTCTGCAGTAGGTCATCTTGTTAGTAAAAGAGTCTAATCTGTCTGTATTCCTCCAAAGTGACTGCAGTCAGTCAGTTTTTGCTATGGTGACATTATATATAAATCAAATAGGTTATATTTTAAAGTCTACTTTCAGTCTCCTTTACTCCAGCTCCTCAAACTCACATATGAAATTAGAGGTGAGAGTGCACCTTTATTTTCTATTTGCTTTTTCTATGCTCTCATGTCTAGAAATATCCCCTCAGAAGACAGGTATCTTAAACAAAGATGTGAATTTTTGTATGAGATTTCTTTTTCTCCTATATGTAACTGGAATGATATAAAACAGAGGTGAGCAAAATCCTTCCCATGGCCCTCAAGCTAAGAGTGATCTTTATATTTTTAAATACAGTAGAACTGTCGGGCAGACTGGAGTTTGTCAACCTCCAGTATAAAGGAAAGTAGGATTTTGTCGTAATAGTACATCATTCAGACAGTAAATGATTACATTGTTAATGATGTTTTGGTTTTTATAGAAAAGACAAGACAGAGAGAGACAGAGAGGAGAGTTGATGATGAACATCATTCATGCTGATGAAGCAACATTGTTGCTTTTTTGTTATATGCTTCATTTATTCTAGTCTGTTTGGGGGTGGCCCTTGAACTAAGAAAGTATCTAGAGAAGAGTAAGTCCTTATTTACTTCAACTAGATTTTAGCCTTGGATGTTTTCTAGCAAGGATTTAAGCCAATACTGGAAGAGATTAGCCTCAAAGTTCCAACAGTGAGTTGTAGCTCTTTATCGAACGAAAGCAGCCACAGACACTCTTGCACATCTACTTTTTGCAAAGTTTTCTCTGTATTTCTTGATTATAGCCTCCCTCGTGTGAAAATATTGACTGAGTCTAGCATGTAAATATCAAATACAAACACAGTATCCTGTCCTGAGAAGCCATATCTCTTAAGAAGCCTGGATAGTTTAACTTATAGTAAAAGCTAGGTATGAAAGTGGGAATATAAATTAAACACTAATGTGTTGAATAATTGTCTACTTTCAGTCTTAAGATGTAATTACCATATCATAGAACATAATCCCCTTTATATCATTGATCATTAATGCATAGATTTAGACAATGCAGGCCAAATCTTGTCCCTCAAAATAATCCCATGCAATGGTCTTTTGTAATATTAGTTTATAAAGCATGTGGCAATCTTGTTTGTCGATATAAACGTGCATTCTATACACATATTCATGTATAAACATTTATAGAGTTGCATATCATACAATGCATACGTGCATCTTTCTATCATATGTGTACACATATACAATATGAATATATACACATGTGTTTACATATGTGCACACATGTGTATGTGTGTATATGATCATAAAGCATGATCTGAATAATCCTGGGTCAACAAGTAAAACTTATCCTAAATAGACTACCTAAAAATTATTGAGCTCAAAGCTCTATTTAAACTCAAGAAACCCTAGAACAAGGTAGGAAGAATCAACTAAAGATTTTTCCTGCTCCAAAGATCAGGAAAGGGCCAGTGGTAATGCTGGCCCAAAGGTGTGCTTGTACATTTATTTCATATATCTATGCTTAAGATGGATTATGATCTACATTTTGGGAAGAAGAACCCACAGATGCATTATGTAAGTATCAAAATATACTTCTACATATGTACACATATGCACAGAGGTAAAGGGAGAAGTGATAAGTAGCTAAGCTGCAGTTAACCAGAAACCAAAATTCCTTTTGGAATTTTTGGAAACACTTACCTGTTTTTACATGCATAGATCCCCTGATATCACTGAAAAATTCAAGTTATTTGTCAAGAACTTCCTCTTCTCATCCCACATCCCTCTGATGATCCCCCTCCACTCCAGTCTCTGGTAAACATGAGGCTCTTCTCCTTCACAGGAACTCTACAACATGTACCCTTCATCCTACCCCCTGCCTTCCCCAGCACATTGTCCCATGATCATTCCTATTCTTTCTAATCTTTAACCTTTCTACACAGGAGTTTTCCCTGAAGAACATAAACATGCCAATGTCTCTCCCATCATTTAAAAATCTTCACTTGAGCCTTCCCTTCTCACTAGATACAATCTTAGATTTCTCCCTTCTCAGCTAAATTCCTTGAATAAATCACCTATACTCAGTATACTTTTATCCTCTCTCTTCTAAACCTTTGTAATACAGCTTCTGACCTTATCATTCAAATGAATCTGTCCTCTGCAAAATTACCAGTGAATAACCTCTTCATTACCAAACCTAACGACCTATTCTCAGGCCTCTTCCTTAATGACCTCTCTGTGCCATTTGACATTGTTAATCACCTTCCTTTCCTGGATACTTTCTCATATCTGTATTTTCATTATACTGCTTTTTTCTGTAATTCTGCCTGTGTAACTGTTCCTTTTCAGTTTCATTTTCTGGATTTTGATCTGTGTTACTCCTCTTTAATGTTAGTGTTCCCCAATTATCTGTTCTGGCCCTCTTTCTCTTTAGGCTCTGTAATCTCTCATTGGTTCCACTGATTCCAATTATCTTCTCTATTCATGTGTCTCTCAGATTTATGTATCCAGACCCGGGTTCCTCTCCTAAGCTTCAGTCATGCATCAATAAGACCCCTGTTTTCAAATTTAATATCTAGTAGGTATCTCAAACTTAATGTGTCCACAATGAAAATTCATTCTCTTTCTCCTCTAAACCTCCACTCTTTCAAATTTCCATATAATTTTTAAGGTCATCAACATCTTCCCATTAATTCAAGCTCTCAACTTCAGTGTTATGCTCAACTTCTAAATCTCACTCATCCCATATTAAAAAAAAAATCTTGTCATTTTCTACCTTTAAAACATCTCTCATATGTGGACACTTCTTTCCACTTCCACAGTCACCACTCTAGTTCAGGTTCTCATTACCTCTCTCATGGACTATCACAATAATTGATTTGTTTGCCTCATTTCTCTCCACTCCTATCTATCCTCTACTCAGCTGCTAAAGTGATTTTCATGAAGTTCAGGACGAGTCACAGTATTTCCATATTCAATAAACTCCACTGGCTTCCTGTTATCACCATGTTTTAATATAAAGACCTTTATTTTTGGACTTTTGAAACCATTCACAACCTAAGTTCTTTTTTTCCAGTGTACTTATTTACTTTCCTCCATACACTTTGTGATCCAACTATTCTGTTCTACTTGGCATTCCTTGCACATCTCCATCTTCTGTTTCCCTTGGCTGGAATGCTCACCTTAACTTGTGACAATCTCTAGATTCCTTCAAGGCTTAGCTCAAGAATTACCTTCCACAGCAGACTTTTCCTAGTCTTCCCCAGCTGCTAGAGCCTTCTCCTACAAGTCTACCTTCCTTCTGTAGCTTTCTGTAGCTTGTATTTATACCTATTGAGGGTAGTGGGGTTTTTTTATCTTTTTTTTTAAATCCCTAGCATTTAGGATAGTGCTTACCATATAATATATAATTAATAAATGCTTGTTGAGTTGATATATATATATATATGCATACATTCATGTTTATATATACATATATGTATATACACATACACATATATACATATATGTGCATACACACATTTTATATATATACACATATATATGAAGTATGGACCATTTGACCATTTTATAATCTAATAAACAGAACTTTTATTTTAAACACTAAGATTCCATTGTGTTTAGAG